AAAAAAACTGGTGAAAAATTTATCAGGAAAACCACAAACCAGCTGGTTTTGATATGCTGTGACAGCCATAAATTGAGTTTCAGGGAACACAAATGTTCGATGAACTTCCTCTGCGAGATTGACCTAAGAGAAATACATTTAGAACCAACAAAGAAAATATAACTTTGCTTTCCAGACTACGTTCTATTCTAAAATAGCCACTCACCTTGTTATGATCTAGATGTTGTCCTTTATTTCGTCTCACAACGTGGATTCTCGGCTGATACTTGTGCATGGAATTCAGGATTAGCTAAAACTTCAGAATAGAATTAATAAGTAAAGGAATGAAAAGATGAACACTCACATGGCCAGCTTTGTCTATCTCATTGTTAGTAAGTTTTGCCTTCTCGAATGAAACAACTTGTTTCAGTAGCTAAAAGTAGGAGTAATCAAGAAAGTGCATCAAATTAGAAAAAAAACAGTTATTTAGTTAGCTTTTTTGATCAGTTTTATCATAATACTGAATTTTCAAAAGCTCTTTTCATTTAGAAAGAATTACCTGTTCTCCCGTATATGGCGAATCTGGATGCAAGTACAATCGATTCTTTGGCGCTGGTTCAGCTTTTCCAGCAGTCAGCCACGCTGATTTGTTATAAATATAACGATATCTGAAATAAAGGAAAGATAAAAAGATACTTTAGTTTGAACTTAATTTCTCAATGAAAGTCTAGGATGAGGCTAATCCCTCTATAAAAATATTGAAATTATACTTTTTTAAACCTAAATACAATTAATTTTGTATTTCCATGTACTTCTAAAAGCCTTTTTTGATACTGAAAATTCTTCTTTCCTACTTTCCCACAAATAGTTAAGAAATAGAAAGATCACCTTTTATTGTCAACTGGAATGACGTCAAGGAATACGTAGTAGAGCCCGTCGGCGTCGATATTTGATATGGACACTTTTACCGTAGGAAACATCCGCCTAAAATATTTATACTGAAATGTTTAAATTATCTTAGTTGAAGATTGTGGAGGTTCGCTTTCGCCAGCAATTAGGACTTCATCTTGTAATCGACTTTCTTTTTTGAGTAATGGAAGGATTTGATTGCATGATCATTCACTACTCCCGGTCTCGCGATAAACTTATTGTGTTTGACGGATAAATCAGCTTTTCAAAATCAGATGAACTCTTGAATCTAGAACATCGTTAATGCTCTACTATAGATGGCAGAAAGGGTTGTTGAGAAAAAAAACTTCTTTTTTTTAAATTACAGGGTGCCCAGAAAATTTACTGTTTCATGGTTGATAGCTCCTTTAATGAATGCACCTTTTACTTACGGTTAGTGAAAGAGGCGGGCAGCTGCTGAGAAATTTCGTTACTTTGGCAGAGAATTGCCAGCAGATATTAACAATGTCTGGAACTAACTACCTATATCTCTGCCCAAATTTCTATATTTTGAACGAATGCCTATAATGACTTAAGTCAGTGCTGTGGTCAAAGGTAGACCTACTCTATAAAAATTTTAGATTCAAAAACTTTCTTCAACTTCAATCAGTAAAGATTGAAAAGATTCTGAAATAAAATTATTCATAGCGAGCAGGTGAGCACATTGTGGGAAACTCCATGTCATATTTTGCAAGTTTGCCAGTCCGTATGTTCACATATATTCTTCCACACTGAACTTTACCCTCTAAACCACTTTACCCTTACCAGACTAAGGACCAATGGCTGCCTCCCTTGAGTCGTTATCTGCCTCTCGACAGATATATATTAATTCAAAGTGGTTGTAAGCGTGCAACGAGTTGGTTT